AAAAAGTATCCTATAGGTATATTGACCCGGATAACCAGCTATCACCAAATTTCATCAAAATCCCTCCAGTGGTTTTTCTGTGATGCGGTTACTGACAGACAGACAAAAATTCTAACAACTATAGATTCGGCCTCTGTATCGATACTAATGTTTATTTCAATAAGGTTTTCCAAAAAATATTTAATGTACAGATTCGGCTTAGTTACAATTTTATTATACGAGTATGTAAATATTAATTACCATTATTTATGGATAATACAAAATGACACTTTATGTTGATTAGATTACCACTAGCGTATTTCGTCTCACACTTGACCAGGTTTTATTATAAATCATTGTATGTTAATATTTATACCGTAATTAGAGACGTACACTCGTGTAGCTCGTGAGCGGCCCTAGGATCCAAATAGTAGCCTATTTGTTAGTCCAGGTCTATCTATGTAACTGCTAAATCTCATCCAAATCCGTCCAGTAAAGTAACGGTAAAATAACAGTAACAGTAACGCTGAAATACAGCGTTAAAGACTAACAAACATACACACGATACACGTTCACATACTTTTAGTAGTCCGATTATTCTAAGAACGATAATAAATATTAACGTAACGAATATAATATTATAATAATATTATAATAATAACAGCATCAAAAATAACCTTTAAAACAAGATTCCGATATGATTAAGAAAAACCTCTTAGACTTATTGCTTTAAATTATTCATATTTATGCCAACCAATTATTATTTACAATTTTATTATTTTAACTGCCTCAGTGGTCTAGTGGCTACAAATCCGCAGGACCTGGGTGCGAGTCCAGAGTTTGGCCAAGTTTAGTCTTTCTTTCTGTCTTGTCTGTCTGTGTTGTTGTCTTTCTGCTAATAAAGTCTCAGTAACAGCCCAAAGTTGGGAAGTTGGAGATGTTTCACCCCCGTGCCTCAGAGCACGTAAAGCCGTCTGTCCTATGCCTAATTTCTCACTGTTCGTGTCGTACGTTCGGAATTTAAGGGTTAAAGGAATAGAGATTGGAACTGGATCTGCGCATGCACTTGTGAACTATATCTCCTGCGCAGTTGCCTAGTCTCAGAGATTGGCCGCCGTGAGCGAAATCGTTCAGGCGGACATAATTATATTCGTTACGAAATCTGACATTGACTTTAGTAGCTTCTACTCGTATATCTGCAAAAATCTATTTATAGTTATCTTACATTTTAAAATAATCATTTTAGATACCTATCATTGCTTCTTAAATAATATATCTTTATAGTCAATATCGTTATACGAGTTTCGCAAAAAAAAACATGTAATTTTTTAAATTAATTGAACATTAACTCGAGAGATTTTTCGATCCATAAACATAAAAATAAACAGGAAATAAATCAAATAAAAAGTTTTGTCTTGTGGTCTTACCTACTTATTATTATTATATTAATAGAAATAAATTATGAATAACCTAAATTTGAGGATATTTTGTTCATTAATCGCACACCTTTTTTTTTTTTTTTAACGTTGGGAAATGCATTTACGCACGACGTGTGGGTCTCACCGGCGTAATACAGCCAGTACTACCCACTAAAACCCAACAAAACCTTCCCCCGTCTTAATGGGGCGTCGCAGGATCGCTTACGCATTCAACTACGACGCCCCGACGGCAGGTCTGCCGAAGCAGACCACCGCAACCATGGGGTTGCTCCACAGTCCACTCTGCTATCAGAAAAGTACCAGGAGCAACCCGCATGGTACACCGCCCCCCGAAGAGGGCCACCTCCCATCGCCCACCGAAGTGGGCAACCTCCCTGTGCGTTTCTTAGCTTCGCGCCCGGTTGGATTGCCGGGTACTACTGAGCCCCCCCACCACGACAAGGTGAACGCACGTTGGGGGGGATTAATCGCACACCTAGATAAAAGTACTACAACTGAAAATATCTTTTTTTTTCAGGAATAGACCAAAACGTTTTACTCTTTTTCTATTAATGATATATTAAAAATATGTGTTCTTGTATATAATTGTACGAAGATATTTATTAGATCAATGGCTTGTCATCAAGTAGCAGTATCACTTGTAAATAATTCAATATGAAACACTTGAAGATATTTATTTGGAACACAACTAACCAACAATTCCAAAAATTGCTTTATTTTATTGTGTTAAAACAATAATCACGACAAAATCATATGGAGGTTATGTAGTTTGTAACGCAGCTTCCTATAATAGTACTCGAGTACTCGAATTTGGATTACTTGGAATTGTGCTACTCTTTATCTAGGCTGTAGTGAATGCGCAAGCGATCCTGCAACGCCCCATTGCACTGCGGCGACGGTTTCCGCTGTGGGTTTTAGTGAGTAGGAGTCTCACAGTACCTTGTCCGTTATGACGGCGGGCAGGGTCCCCATGATGGGTTTCCCCAGCGTCAACAAAAAAAAACTCTTTATCTAGGTGTGCGAATTTTGAAGATAATATGTATTATAATACGCTTAAAGTAAAATTAAAAATATATATATTTTATTAACTATTATTTACAAGAAATACAACAATACAGATAAATATAAAATAGGAATATAAAACTATTTTTATAGCAGATATTTAAACTGATTTGATAAATCTTCAGTTCACCACAATTAATTAGTTTTCCTTATATTGTGATCCTTAGTCACTAACAATCCTCACCGCGTAACACTGTAAAATTGTATCAATTTGATCATTTGCGTTAATTCATACTTGTTTATAACTTTTATGAAAGAAATAACCTTATAGCTCTAACAATTTTGAAAACAAAACATTCTATTAGCAATAATATCATATCTCAGTATGTCTTTACAAGACGATCAATTTATTTACGGTAACCAACAATTACGAACACGAGCCTTCTTGGAAAATAGTATTGAGATGCATAAGTGCACAATTATCTATGTATTTATCGTCGAATAGCCATTTAAATAATTGCCTACAGTTTAATTGAAAGCATCCGGATATTTTACAATTACAAATTAATAAAGAATATGTATAACCCAATTTCATTTCGATTAAAAACGATATTTAGCTACACGAGGGAATAATTTGTTTAGGTATACATACCTATAACCTATAAGTTTTAAAATTTAAATTTAAGACGTAAATTAAAGCGATTCTACTGTAAAGTAAATTGTGATAACTATAAGTTTTGGGTTAATTTTTAGTTTTAGACGTACCTTGAATAATACTTTCTTAGATATACGCGAATATTTGACATTTTACCATGACTGGTGTAAAGCATTCGAAACGTCGGGAACCAAAAATCAAAATAAATTCGTGAAATAATCCGAAAAGATTAAAATACCTTGAATATATTAATTAGTAATCAAATTAATAATAATTAATTATTTAATAAAGCGTAAATAATATCACAGGAAATACACATCATTTCAAGGATATTATTTAAAAAAAAAACAAGTCAAGAAAGTTACATAATTCTAGACTTAGCATGTTAGGCTGTATGTTGTATGTCAATCAGAAAAGTTAAGAAGATTAGTATTATCATTTAATTGTATTAACATGTTTTTTTATATTTAGATTGGGAGAGATTATAGTTGGTTTCGCATAACAAATGCTCCTTTTAAGGTTGCCTAATCAAATATTTCGCCTTGGTCTAAATAAACTGTTGCTAAAAATGAGCAGTATTAAATAATAATAGATTTACCTATATAGGTACAATTTGTGACCATGACCATGAATCTTAGGAAACTGCGGTTTGGACTATGTTACATTGGCATCCTTTAATAGTAAGAGTACGTTTAATGATCAGAATGTTAATACATGAAGGGCAGTACGCTGGTAGAAACAATATGATATCATGTAGAATGTGGCTCATTAACAACGGCAGCCTCTAAGGAAAATAAGGTAGCCTTTAAAACTTTTCCAACTCTGTCTTAACAAGGTCAAATATCTCATTACAATGCTATGTTTAGTCCTTTGTCTATATTGAATACACTAACACATGTCCACGAATTCGTTTCTGTAATCTATAATGTTTCTGTAATGTATCTATAGCAACAATTTTTTTCGGTGATGGTCGCAACAATCAGTCAAATCAAGTAGATAACTCGGTAATTAAGACTTCGCATAGAAGGGTTGTACTATCCTACAAATTATAAAAGTTTAATTTTTTAAATTATTATAGGTGTACAGATTTTTACTTGAAAGTAGTTCATGAAGAACCAAATATTTTCATAGAATTTGTAATTAGAGAATACGGTACGACTGACTATATTGTAGATTTATGAAATATTTGTATACACTGTTTTCATTTATATACAAACGTTTAAGCGATGCACGCAAAGAAGGGCGAACTAAACGATTTTTTACTGCACGCATTTGCTAGACGAAGACCGTGATAAAGTATTACATAATAAATATTAGTAGGTATATAAGTATAGTTAGTCTAGATAACTACCTAAGTACCTAGTCTTAGAATATAAATTTTAGTTTTATTTATTAGTTAATTTACTAAGGTTTCTTGCAAAAGGAAAAGTTGAAACACATAATATACCTATAGCTTGTTTGTATGTATATCCGTGTGTCTTAATCTATTTTGTGAGCTCTAAAACTACTGACTTTAGTTAAAACTCTATCTAGAGTTTTATGACCCAATAAGGGAAAGTATAAATATAGTATACGAATCAATTCTACTCGAGTTAATTTTGGGGATTCAATTAGAACAATAAAAATAAGTTTAAAAGCAACTTAAGTTTATAAGCGCAACTTATTATATATAAATGATATTTTAAAGAAAAGGTCTCATTATGAAGAATATAAAAAGATATTATTATTTAAAAATGTACCCATTGTTAAGTAAAAATAGGGCCTCATATAGAGTTTATAGGAAAGAATATCATGAAAATATTTTTTTTAATTCTCATAATATGTCTTTTTTGATGATTTTTGTATCTTTTCGTTAAAACAATAATTATATACAAAAAAAAACATTATATTGTAACTATTTTAAATATTTTGGCGTTTATTTTCAGATGACAGGCCAGCGTCAAGCTTCAACTTTGACGGCGGCTCTTTGGCTGATCTTTACAATTGTAATTCCGACCGAAACTCAAGTTGCTAATCCCTTTTCATCTATAATGCAATTTCTCCAAGACGGTACAAACCAACTAGATAATGAACCACCAGACCAGACAAATCTACTCTCTGAGTACGATTTCATAGTTGTTGGTGCGGGTACGGCAGGATGCGTACTCGCTAACAGACTAACAGAAGTACCGGAATGGAAAGTCTTACTCATAGAAGCAGGTGTTAATGAAAACTTTGTTATGGATATTCCACTTTTGGCTAATTACCTTCAATTTACAAATGCTAACTGGAAATATAAAACAAAACCATCTGATAAATATTGCGCAGGATTTGAAAATAAGCAATGTAGTTGGCCACGTGGTAAAGTTGTTGGAGGATCTAGTGTATTGAACTACATGATTTATACTAGAGGAGCACATTTCGATTATGATAATTGGGCTGCAATGGGTAATAAAGGTTGGGCGTGGAAAGACGTCCTACCGTATTTCAAAAAAATTGAAAACTTTAAAATACCCTCAGCTGATGATCCTGCCTTCCATGGTCAAGACGGGTATTTAAATATAGAATATGCACCATTTCGCTCAATGAAAAGTAAAGCGTGGGTTAGGGGTGCACAAGAATTAGGTTTCACATATAATGACTTTAATGGGGCTAGACCATCTGGCGTCTCTTTTTTACAACTTACAATGAAGAATGGCACCAGACACAGTTCCAGTCGAGCTTATCTTCATCCAATTAATAAAAGGAATAACTTGCACGTATCAAAAACAAGCATGGTGACAAAACTTATTCTAGACTCTACTAAGAACAAAGTTATTGGGGTTGAATTTACGAAACGTGGCAAGAAATATAAGATATTAGCAAAAAAAGAAGTGATAGTATCAGCTGGTGCAATTAACTCGCCACAACTATTAATGCTTTCAGGAATTGGTCCAAGAGATCATTTAGAATCTCTAGACATACCAGTGATAAAAGATTTGCCAGTAGGATATAATCTCATGGATCATATTGCAGCTGGCGGAGTCCAATTTACGGTACAAGAAAAAGGTGTACCTGTGTCCAGCGCGTACATACTAAATCACTTGGAACTAGTATTTAAATGGATGCAAACTCATAAAGGACCTTTATCTCTTCCTGGTGGTTGTGAAGCTTTAGTATTCCTGGACTTAAAAGATAAATTTAATGTCACTAGTTGGCCTGATCTAGAGTTGCTTTTTATTGGTGGTGGATTAAACTCCGACCCACTTCTATCACGTAATTTTGGTTTTGACGAACAAATATATTCCGATACATATTCCGCATTAAGTAGCTACGACGCGTTTATGGTTTTCCCTATGCTTATGCGACCAAAGTCTAAAGGTAGAGTGATGTTGCGAAGCAAGAATCCCAAAGTGCACCCGACTTTAATTCCGAATTACTTTGAATATCCTGAAGACCTAAAAAAAATTGTGGAAGGTATTAAATTGGCCATAGAAATATCGAGACAAACAGAAATGAAAAAAATTGGAACTAAAATATATGATGTACCTATAGCTGAGTGTTTGAAATATGGACCCTTTGGAAGCGACGCGTATTTCGCTTGCCAAGCGCAAATGTTTACATTTACTATTTATCACCAAAGTGGAACATGCAAAATGGGCTTGAAAAGTGACCCTTCCGCAGTTGTAGATCCTAGATTGAGAGTACATGGAATTACAAACTTACGGGTAATTGATGCTAGCATAATGCCCGAAATCGTATCGAGTCATACAAATGCGCCCACGTTTATGATAGCAGAAAAGGGAGCGGATATGATTAAGGAAGATTGGAGGAAGAAATGATACTGAACTAGTTATTGATAAATTAATTATTAAACATTATGAAACTGTGATGTAAATTAAATATTTAGGTTAAAGTAGATGTTGGTGCTAGTAGGACAGGTATTAGTTAATACGACTATTTAGAGCGATGAAAGACTAATATTAAATAAATAATACACAAATAAATTCGCAATACATTACAAACTTAAAAATATACGGAAGAAGGAGACGAAATAAATCATATCAGTGATACCAAACAAACTGTGGCATTTGTTACGTTTAATCCAAATTATTATGTACATCAAAAAATAAAACCAGTTTTTTTTATTTATTTGACCTATCCCAAGATTCTTTTATTTATTTATAAAATTCATGTATTATATCCGACTTCATGAGGCAAGCTATATTATATTTTTTTCATAAATAAATAAAAATAAATAAATAAATATTTTGGGACATTAGCACACAGCGCCATCTAGTTCCATGATAAGCTATGATGCTTGTGTTATGGATACCAGATAGTTGATACACTACACATATATAACTTTAAATACATACATATTATAAATATAAACACCCATGACTGGAGTACAAACATTCGTCATTACACAAATGATTGCCCCCAGCGGGACTCGAACCCGCGACCGCTGGCACAGCAAGTAGGGTCACTACAAACTGAGCCAAACGTGTCGTCATTGTTTTATCTTATTCCTACTTGACTTCAGGCTAGTTAAATATTTCTCTTTTAGGCCAAATCTGAAATAATGGCAGGCCATTTGGTCCGTCAATTGCATTTGTATCATAAATATACTTTATTTACAAAAAAGAAAATTACAAATATACTTAATTATATTATCATAAATTAAATAAATAAGCGAAGAGTTTTCATTAAAATAAATACTACAAATATTAGAATTTTGCATTTACAATATTAGTTACAATGGTCAATAATATAAATAAATATTCATAATGAGAAGCTCATTTTTAAACGGAAAATTGAACATTCTTGTTATATAATTTGTTTAATTTTTGAATAAAAAACGATTACGAGGTTTTTAAAAGTTTTTGTTGTTTCATGATTTTTACGTCCATTTAAATACAAGATATTAATCTGTTTATTTATCAAAAACCTTTGAATATTGTTTATATTTTATATTGTTTTGAGAAATTTATGACATCAAGATTTATTATTTAAATTACATAATAAACTTTTTCATTTTAATTTTATCTATATACATATAATAAAATAGTAACTAAGCCGAATCTGTACATAAAATATTTTTTGGAAAATCTTATTGAAATAAACATTATTATCGATACAGAGGCCGAATCCATAGTTTTTAGAATTTTTGTCTGTCTGTCTGTTACCGCATCGCAGAAAGACCACTGGGGGGGATTTTGATGAAATTTGGTGTGGTGATTGCTGGTTATCCAGGTACATATAGGATACTTTTTACCGCGGGAAATATCTCATTTCTGAGAAAAAATACAAAAATTGCAATGTAAGAGTATACTAATCTGTAAAGGCAGTGGTAGCCCAGTGGTAACGCGCTCGCTTGGGAAACAGAGTGAAGCGGGTTCAAATCCCGGGTCTCGCACCTCTGATATTTTCATGTGCGAATCATTTCTAAAATGATTACCACTTGCCTTACGGTGAAGGAAAACATCGTGAGGAAACCTGCATGTTCGAGAAAACCTAGCAAGTTTTCAAAAGACATGTGAAATCCGCCAACCCACACTTGGCCAGCGTGGTGGACTATGGCCTGATCCCCCTCGTATTGAAGAGAGGCCCGTGCCCAGCAGTGGGATATTAAAAAAAAAGGGCTGAGTACAAAACCTAAGAATTTGGATTTTGGTCATCTGAGCGCCGGCGGACCCACGGGCAATGCTAGTATTTCTATAATATAAACCCTTTTTCTAAATAGTTTCTCTACATAATAAAAAAAACTTCGTATTTTAAAGTTAATGATATGAAATAAAAAAGTCATTTAAAATATTAAAGTTTTTACAGTCATTATAATGCAAATGAACATGGCAACCTTTTTAATTATTATCAAAATACAGATTTATTTCTCAAATTTACATTTTAGTAATATTTCTGGATAAGTTGAATAATTCTGTTATGAATTTACAAAAATCTACAAAATTATATCGAAAATATACATTTCATGACTAAAACGCGATCAATAATAAAAAATCGTTAAATAATTTAACTAAAATTAAGTAATTTAAAATTGAATTCCACAATCGATTTTGAGCTTGCCATTTAAACAATTTAAGTCTAACATTAAAATATAGTACTTAATATTAAAATGTGTTAAAAGACAAAAAAATCAAAAAAAGTATATTACAAGACTTCCGCGACACCATTCAGACAAAGAGAGTCAATAGCCCAAGGAGGGTTGACGTCAGGCGGCCAGTCGTAAAACTTTTGCCAAATCCTATCAGCAGTACAGAAGCTGTACTCCGCCGACCCCAAGTGATTGGGAAATGGGCAAGGAGAAGAAGAAGATTAAAATAAAGTACCTGGGCCACCGAACTTAGCTCGGAGTTTTTGGTTAAAAAGTATAATTTTCTTTAAAAACAAAACTAAAAACTTGAATAAATATAAAAAAAAATATACCTATGTATCCGACCGGAATTGGAACCCGGACACCTATGATTGTCAATCTTGCGTCTTTTTTTTAAACTAAAAACTTGAATAAATATTTAAAAAAAATAAAAGTAACCTATGATTGTTGATCTTGCACCTTGGCCGCTTGAACACGATGCTTATACCCGAGCGTGCAAATTACCGACCACATTTTGCGTGGAATAATGCAAAAGAAATCTGCATGAAAACTCGAAAATACGCGTTTTCTCAGACATAAGACTAATCTAGATCGATTTACCGCCCCCGAAACACTCGAGTGTACTAAATTTCATGAAAATCATTGGAGTTTCTGAGACTGAGAAATATATACATACAAGAATTCCTCGTTTAAATATATTAGATAATAATAAAAGTATCTATACTATAATAAAACTGTAGAGGTCGAATGTTTGTACATTGAAAAGAAATGCTAAACACCGAGTCAGGGGGATGTAAGAAGAGAAATAGAACAAATCCAGATTTTTTCAATTTTTTTGTTTCTCTGTCTATTGTGTTTGCTTGTACGTCTGTCTGTTTGTCTGTTTGTACGGGCTAATCTCCAAAACTGTTGGACTGATTTAAATAAAATTTTGCATGGTGGTACCTTATATTCCTGGTCAACATTTTAGATACTTTTCATCCCGGAAAATTAAATTTCCGTGGGATAGTTAAAAAATTATAGTAACTTATACAGCTTAGTACAGAAAAACTACTGATTGGATTTTAATGAAACTTTACAATAATATAGTTCATACATCAGAATAACAAATAGGCTACTTTGTATCCCGGAAAAATGTACGGTTCCTGTGGGATAAATTTGTTTTTGTTTGTCTAGCGGCGAACCCCAGCAAAACGAGAGTGACCCGCTAATTAGAGAATAAAGCCTATTATACCGTCACGGAATACTTCGTAGATGTCAATGTGTGGAACTAATGTCTGGTTGGGTCTCACGTAGGATAAGTAGATAATTATTGTATTACAATATGTAAACAATTATAATTTTAAAAGAGCAAGTTGAGTTTCTGGCCGGTTCTTCTCAGCAGAATTGAGCCGCTGCATGGTAGATTCGTCACGGACTAACCTACATTTAATTTTGAAATTGACGATTCAAAAGTGCTTGTATAAGTCTATTTAAATAAAAAATATTTTTATTTGGTTTGATTTTTTCACAGCTACTCATTTTAACTTGATACGCGTTCCTAAAAAAAATGGTCTTGGCAGACCAACATAGAGATGGACAGACAACGAACTGCTCCTATAAGAGTTCCTTTTTTCTTTTTGAGGTACGGAACCCTAAAAAAGAGGTACCTATAAGGAAATAAGGGATAGGTACCTTTCACTTTCAAAATCCAGTTGGGTGATCAGGCGCAGGACTGACGGCTTTACAATTTCCTGACTCATACTGATAATTCCAACTCGTCCTTGGCATATATATACATAGTATGTCCGAGTTATAGTAATGACATGCAGCACGGTATGTGTATACGGTATGTATGTAGAGCGAACTACCAGGTTTCCATCAAGATTTTGTGCTCACGGTTTTTATTACTACATAGTTTTACTTATAATGGCTTGAAATTACTTATGGAGGGGGTTCGGGTAAGACTTTGCCGTTAAAGGGTGTATTAAACCGTAAAAGGGGTATGTAGTGTTTTAGCAGTATATCACTTACGAATGATAAGCACGTGCCAGAAAACGCACCACCAAACGCCTATAATTTCCTTAGAATATTTTAACTCTGACCTGGAAAAAACAAAAATTCAATGTTAACAACGGAAACTATCGTAAAATAACAAGCTTAAAACTTAAGCTCTAGAATTTTTATTATTTATAGAATATCCGAAAATGTCGATTAAAAAAGTTTTGTTAATTTATAAAAAATGCAGTAATTATTATTTTTTTAAAGTAAAAGAATGATTCCTTTGAATAAAACTTGATAACTTCAATATTTAAGGGAGGTACTTTTCTTCTATGTCCCATCCATTTGTCCACCTGGTATATTATAAGCGTATGTTAATATTTTATAATTACATATTAACTTTTAAAACATCTTCATAAAAAATAAGACAACATTTTCAATTAAAACTTTGTTTTAGTGAATACGCTTATATACACACAGCACCATCTAGTACCATGGTAAGTTACGAGGCTTTTCAGTTTAATGTCTAATGGCTAAATTGTGATTAGGTACATACTATGTGTTATTAAAAAAAGTTTATGAATAAGAATTTATCAAATCCTGAATAATAAATACGGTTTCTTTAAATACATGTACCTAATTAAAAAATTATACTCCCATTTATTAGAAAAAAAATATGGATCTTCTTAGCCACGTTTAAACTTTTAATTCAAACGTTTAGCCGTAAAATATACCTACATTAAATCC